TTGTAATCCAGACAGAAAAAGAATTGGCTGCTCAATCTGCAGTTAATAAAACCACAAGGAGTAATCAGGAATGAGACATCAAATTCTAAAGTTAGGACGAGAATATCTAACTGATGTAACACGAGGGGAAGAACAGAAGAAGGTAAAACAAAAGCTCCAGTGGCTTGTCAAGAAATAATAAATGTACTAAGAAAATCTGATAAAGCTAGGTTGCCAATGGAATTTGGTAAATTAAAAAATAAGAATAGGCGCAGAGTGAATCATGATCATACAATACAATATGCCTTAACTTTATTAGGGTAATATACATTAAACAGAATAATGAATATCCAGACAGCTACTTATTAATCTCAGAAATCCTTTTCCTCCATGATTAACTTGCAAATTTCTCAAAGGTTTGCAAGCTTCTATGCAAACCAATAACGGGGGACTATATTGATCCTATTGCCACCAGTTGGTGAGAAGTTTCATTCAGCCATATTCATCACAATATCCTGCTAAAAATGGTTCTACAAAGCAAAAGCAAGGGTTTCTAATTAACTCTACCTGGCCAACAATGGCAATGGTACTCCACGGAGAGCGAACGAGAAAATTCAGAATTTTAGGACCTTTCGACCCAGGGCCTCCAATAAACCACTTCAGGAAAGGCAACTTAACTCCAGCCATGTCCAGAATAGATGTGAAAGTGTTTTCTAGAATCAATGCTGCTACCTGAAATGCATAAATAAACCAAGAAATGACATGCCTAATATGACTGGAAAGGAATGACATCATAGAGATTTATTAATGGGGAAGGAAAAATTCATTGCAATAAACTGGAATAACCTCTATGAAAAAAAAAATCTGGAAGGTATAAATCAACTGAGTGATGTATATGGGAGTGAAGTAGAATTTAACAATTATAGGTAGCAGCATGTCATGTAGTGATTATAAAGACTCCTCTAGCCTACAATTGGGAAGATCACATTGCCTGTAGTAATGGACAGACAACTAGAGCCACATAGGAGGAGCTGATTCAATAATGAAACGAAATCAATCAACCCAAGGAAATTTCACAATTGAGTGAG